TATAGAATGAATTGCTATTTTTGGTAGGGTTCTGTATATTCCATAAAAAGAACCTTTCTGTATATAATATTTTCCATATATATATAAGCAATTAATTTTCGTGTTACAATATTTTTAAATTTCATGGCCAAATTTAATAAACTTTTTTTATTGTAAAGAACTTATTATTATTATTAATAAAAAAAAGAAAATATATATGTTTGTAGAAAATATCCTATGAAAAAAAAATTTACACAAAATTTACTTAGTCTCAATTTCTCAAGTGTATAACAAAATTTGTAATTTTCAAAATGCCAAGGCTCTGCCAATTTTTAATTTAAAAAAAGCTAGCCGATAAGTTTTAAGCTTTGAGTCATGAACAATAAAGATTATATATGATCTGCACCGTAGTTAAAATTAACCGGTTAACTGTTTAATTGTGGTTAATGTTAAACGGTTAACGGTGCCAACCTTTAGTAGATTGAATACTCGAGAAATAAACCGGGTATAATGCTTGTGGGGATTAACCTCTTTACCAGAACAAACCATTAGTGACCAAGTTTGATTTCCTTATTGTTCTCTATTAGATAAAAAGTTACTTGTATTATTTTATGAGATATTGCAGAAGCTTCCAACATTTTCTTATTTTTGTATGCCGATAATTTTAAGGCGTTAGACCTCTCAAAGTCAATTTTGGCATAACTTCTCTTCATGCATTCATAATAGTTTGAATGAAATTTTTCATAGAGAAGACAGCTCCTATTACTATTACTATTACTATAAAAAATTTTACAGAATGTACGAAAAACAGAAATCTGTTGTTTCTGTATGGAAAAGTGGCGTGATAATACAGAAAACATACTAATACTAATACGAAATCACACCCGGAATTTCTGTTTTCCGTATGTTTTCTGAAAACTAAGTATAATAATAAACAATAACAACAACAACAACAACAACAACAATAATAAGGACATTCAATTTTCCGCATATTTTCCGCATGCTTGTATTGAGAATTACTGATCACAAATTTATAAACAAAATTTTATATAAATAAAATTCAAACAAGTAAGATTTTCCATATTGATAAAAAAGACGATATAGAATTTCTCGATCTTTAAAAAATACATAACAGCTTCCTGTATTAGTAATAAAAATGTGATGAAAAATGAACAATTTAATTCCACAATCGGAATAAAGACGATGGATATGTTTTTGAAGCTGTTGAGTAAATAAACATGTAAACAAACAAACATTTACAAAATAAATCATGCGATTCATTTACATTTGTGTTAGTAGTTTAAGTTTATTATTATAATTTTTGTAAAACAAAAGAACCAATAAAATTATGTGATGAAAACGATTTTTCACAACTTAATCTGGATGTGATATGAAATTTAAAAAATAATAGAATTCCTGTTTTCTAATTATCGTTATTGACGATTTTAAAGTTTCTTTTGTTCAAAATTATAAATAACAATTAATATTATACATATGTATTTAAGCGTGGGCGTGCAAATATGTATGCTATTTTTTGTGATTGAGAAGAAGGGGGAGGGGGACTTGGAACGAATCAATTTAAACGTTATCAAGATCATATCGATGTAAGATGGATTATATAAATAATCAAATGACCTTTTATTACCATTATTTACCATTATTATTGTGCTGTGATTTCCTAACAAATTTTCGTTGATCGTGTGTCACCAACTTGTATTATTATTATTATTATTAAATGTTTAATTAATTATATGAAATGTTTATTATATATGACATTTATGAAATAAATGAATCAAATGAATGTTATTAGGTGTAACAAATAAAAGAATTAACGGTCAAGATAATTGGTTCGATTTTCGAGTCAAAGAGAAACTACAATGTTTTTTATATTATTTATGAGAAAAAATTTTATTTTATACATTATAATTTATTTTTACAGTGTTATAATTTTATTTAATCAATCAATTTAATGAAGTTTAAACAAAAAATTTATATAAATGCTTTTTTCTCGTTTTTTTTTAAAAAAGTTTATTGTTAAAATTATATTAGTTTATATATAATATACACATCGCGAATTTATATAATTTATATTTTTCAATTTCAAAATTCTTACAAATTCTTCTACTATTTTTTTTTTTTTTTTTAAAAAAAAAATGGGAACTAAATTTTCAAAAGAAAAAATTCAAAAAATAATAACAAATAAAGGACATTTTATTAATAAATCTTTAAACGTCAATAATAATAGCCGTAGTCGTAGTAGTAGTAGTAGTAGTAGTATTATTTCTCGTCGTGATGATAAAGATAATATTAAAAGAAAAACATCGACGGCATCATTTCCAACAGATATCTATTGTTTATCTTTATCAGCAACAATCTTGGACAATTTTCGTGTGATTGATGGTAGAAAATTTCATAATGTAGAAAATTCACCGTATTCATTTCCGATCGATGAAATATCAAATTATAATCATGATGTGCAACATGATATTTATAAAGAAATATGGGGTGAAAATTTTTCCTCTCCTGTTCATGAAATATTAAAATTAGGCAATGCAAAAGTATTAGATTGTGGGTAAGTAGTAATTTTTCAAACCAATACTATTATAATACATATATATTTATCTTCTCGTTCTTTAATGAAACAGTTGCGGATCTGGGAAATGGATTAAAGAGATGGCAATAGCATATCCAAATTCGACATTTATCGGTATAGATCTAAGTGTATCGTTGACACCAGATGGAAATGAGAAGCCGTTGAACGCGGGGTTCCTTGAAGTTAATATAATAGAAGGACTACCATTTCCAGATAATACATTTGATTATATATTTCAAAGAAACATGATATCAGCATTCAATGATTCACAATGGCCAATAATAGTTAAAGAATATTCAAGAGTATTAAAGCCTGGTGGATATTTAGAATTATGTGAATATAATATTAAAAGTGATAATCTTATATATAGTGGAAAATTATTAAATGAATCTGGTAATTATTAAAAATAATGTTCGAGTAAACCAATTAAAATAATAATTATTATTATTTTTTGTATTTATTTAGTCAAAGGACATTTTGAATCATATGGATTTACGCCAATATTAGCATATTTATTACCAGTTTTTTTGGAAAAATCGAAAGAATTTAAACCAACTGTGGTAATGGAAAAAGAAATTAGAATAGGGTCATGGGGCGGTGAATTAGGCGAAAGGGTAATTGTCATGAATATTATTGATATTAATTAATTAATTACATCGGATTATTTAAATTTTTTAATTTATAATTAATTAGGTTGTTGATTGTATGATATTATCATGGTCAACATGTAAAATAATAGTACAAGCGATATTGAATATTGACGATGACGAATTTGAAAAATTATTAAACGATTTTTTTAATGAATCAAAAGACATAAGAAATCGAATGTCTATAAAAACTTTTCGTGTATATGGTAGAAAACAATAACACGATGAACGATAATGGAGAATTTTTTATATATTTAAATATTTGTAATTATATTAATACATAATGAATAATAAACTAGTGTTTGGATTGTATTTGTCCAGTCTTGTGACATTAAGATGTTACATGTCATCGATCAATCAACCATGAGCTTGGATAGGACCCGAAAACTATATTAATATATTAATAATATATTAGAGATGCTGGTCGGTCCCAAACGGTCCGGGACTGCAGTTCCATCTTAGGTCCGGACCGGACTTAAAGTCCTATTTTTTAAACATATAATGTATTATTTTATTGTTGGTATAAAAAATTTATATACACACATCATATATATATTGTGTGAATAAATTGGATGATTAATAGGTAAAAAAATGTAGTACAATTCAATTGATTTATTATTATTATTTGGCAAATGAATAAATGCCATAAAAATCAATAATGATGATAATTTTTTAAAAATATTTTAGAATAAATCGTAACTGCATGAATTACCCTGCTTTTTTTTTAATGGTGGCAAATATCGGGATAAAGAATCTTCTTTATATTACGATATTATTGTTTGTCTTCTTGGATGTTTAAAAATCTCTAACCTTTCCATTTAGAGAAAACAAATAAAATTTATTCCGTTTTTTTGACAAAGACCAAGTTCTAGTTCATGAATTATTTTGTATTATCACTATCACTATCACTATTATCAGTATACTGATTCCTTTATTAATGCTAACAATATGTGAAATTCAATACATTTGTCAAGTAAGTGGTGTAATGGTCATCTTGATATAGTAGTGGATATTCGTAGCTACGACAATGATGTAAGTATCAGCTTGAGGATTATCGATGATGCCCTCAAAAATTTCCATATTGAGATTGATTTCTAGCAATAAGGTTGAACAAAAATAAACAAAATGTTTTTTTTTTTAGAGAATTATATTATTTTTTTAAAAAAATGGAAGATATCAAAGTACCAACACTTTCAGTTGAGTTCTCCCAAAAAACAAAGTTAATAACAGAAAAAAGAGGTGCAAAAAGTTCCATTTTTAATTTTTTATTAATAGTTGTCAATCAAACAATTTTGAATGCAGATTGAAAATTTCAATTTCAATCTCAATCTAAAGGCATCATCCATTGGTAATAATAGATAGGAGGGATACAATAAAAAAATTATTTTTTTTTTGAAATCGTAACCTTGTAGAGAAAATGCCTTCCATTTTTCGGATGATTCAAGGATTCACACTTCAAAATCTTTTATTCCAAAATGAACTTTTTTGTATGAATATTTAAACTATTTCTTTGACAAAATTCTTTAGTACATCCTGGATACTTGCATTTTAAATTCTTTTCGTCATGCTATTATTACTATATTATTGATTAAGCGATCATCTTGCTCTAAAAGTCTTATCACAACTTGGAAACTTTGCAAACTAATCCCATTATTACTTTACTATCACCATTTTTTAACATTTTTATCGTAATACAAGATTTAAAATCACACGACTATTTGTTTTTTCAAGTTTTTTTAAAAAAATGTCTTCTTCCTCACAATCATCAATAATTCATCAACAAACATCATTATTGAATGAAATTACATTTCATCAAACATCAAAGTTTGTTAGCATTATCTACAATATTCTAGTACGAGATAAAGAAGATTATTTGGATGTAGAATTTCAAAACGAATTGGTAATTAATCCTTTCCATGTTTCTTCAATCTTTAAAAAAATTTTGTTTTTTATATCAATAAATATTATGCTTGTGATGATAGACAGTGATAAAATTTAAACCTTCTGCATCAAACAAATTTACATTAAAAATTCACCATCCATCAACAAGTTCATTGTCAAATTCATTCACTATTTCCGACAAAAATCTTGTAATAATACTTGAAAAAAAAGATAAAGAATTAGAATGGCAATCTTTGATTTTCAAATATAAAGATGAAGATGAAGACGATGTTCAATTATCAATAAAAGAGAACAAAGAAGTAATGGTAGAAAGATGGTTTTTAACTAGAAATAATGTTCAAAGGTGTTCACAAATTTTAGAAAATGAATCAAAATGGGTAAGACAATTAATTGATAAATTATTTTAATTATTGGTTATTTTATTTATGTATTAATTGTTTGTTTTGCTTTTGTTTTTTAGAATAAATTTTCAATTATGCCAAAGATTACTTCTTTACAAGCTAAACATGATAAAAATGTGATAACTGTTAATCTGAAAACAAATCATTCTATAACAAAAAATACGGAATAAATATTATTATTATGATAAAGTAAGGGATTATAAATTCTAATCCTAATCCTAACGTTAAGACTATTGCTGATATTACATGAATAAAATAATAAAAATCCTGTAAATAATAATATTTGTTTTTTTCGTGATTGTAATGGGTTGATTTGTTTGATGTATTTTTTACAAAGGTGTAATCATCTATCAAAAAAATCTAGACAAGTAACCCTATATGTTACTAAAAATATTCTGTATTTAGATTTTACCTTTAATTAATTACCATCCTCTTGATTTATAAAAAACCCTTGCGTAGAGCTATTAGTAAAAAATTCTAAAGTCACCTTAACCTTACATGTTAATATATATTTCAGGGTCCCTAGTAGTGCACTTTTTTCAATTTATGTTAATATTAAGAAGAAATTTTTTTTAAAATATATTGATTGACATAGCAGTCAACATGATAATTGGAAATTTCAATTTAAAGATTTCTCCTAATTCTTTACACAGATGATCTATTTCCTCATAAATCTAGGCAAGTGAACCTGTCTATAGTAATAGTAAAATGTAAATTGCCTTTTCTCATCATACAAATTCCCTAATAATTGACTGATTTAATGATACCTTCCGAAGTTTAAAGCAACAAGCTACCATCTAATCTAAAATCATTCTAGAATTCCCCATAAGATTATATTAAGTCAAAAGTCAATCTCTTTTTATTTTTAAATTATTTTAAAAAAAAATATACACTGAATTTTGAAACTTAAATTTACGCGCGTAAAATTCTAATTAGCCAATCAGAATTTTGTATCCACTCAAATTTAAAAAACATGAAAAATTAAATTGAAGATTTAGTCATAGATGAATGGTATAGATGAAGATTCAGTCATAGATTGTATTATTATATAGTGGTGTTAGGAAGAAGTCAGAATAAAAACTCGTTGTTGTTGTTGTTAAAGAAGAAGAGAAAATAATGGCTGTTCGTCAAAAGTAAGAATAATAACTAATTATTTGTAAACGTTATAATTAGTAAAAGAACTTTTGATTTCAATTCATGAAACTAATCTAAATCTTGGATAGAATATTGGACGGGATACAATATAATAGACACTTTAAACTTCACAAGATATGTGGCCTGTATTTTGTTTTCTTTTTTCAATTGAGTAAAAGTACTAGCTGTTTTCATTTTTTTCTTTATTATTTTTTTCTAATTAGAATAACTTGTCATATAAAGAGAATGTGACATGACAACCTTTTTTTTATTTATGTATATAGTAAAAAAAATTCTACGAAAAATCAAGTTTAAAGTTGAAGATACAATGTGAGCTTTGCAATTTCATGAAATACACACTTTCCTACAAACAACACAATAGTGTCAATTGTATATCTTTATTAAATTTTCTTCATTTACATTAAAACCCCTGTATTGGAAATTTGCATACTATCTATCGTCTAATCTTGTTGTGGACACTCAATTTAAAGTATCAATGTCACTGAAAGATTTACGAATTCAATATGACAAACATTATTATTAGAATATATAGACGGTCATAAGGGTGTTGCATGTGAAATTGCAATCTATAATTAAAGATGGATCTACTACTACTATTATGGATACTTTTTGTAAAGTCAAATAAAAATCATATGTTCTCTATGTAAATTGTCGATGGGTTTTCCTTTCGACTAAAAAAACTGGTTTTTTAAATTTACAATTTGTAAAAATTACCAGCCGGCTAAGCCATTTGAATTCTCACGGCGAAAATTTCTTAACTGGTTAATAAAATTTTTTTTTCATATACATTTATCAGCTGTTTAAGCTAAGAAAGTCGTCTAAGCATAACAGGATGACATCACTACTCATATGGTGATGATATTCGAACACTTGAAACATTTAAAGATTCACTTATCTGTGATTGCAAAGAAAAGAAATTCAATATTTCTCTCATCTATTTGATTATCTTTGCTGTTGTTGCTTTAGCAAGACCAATTGATGTTGATAACCTGATACGAGGTATTCATTTATTATTATTACAATAAATATTAACTGTTGGTTTTCATTTTATTTTAAATAAATAAATAGACTGGTAAATATTTTCGTCATTATTATTAATTATTACAGTCAATAATATCATTGTTTTTGAGAAAATATTAACTGTTGATTTTAAATAATAAATAGTTTGCAAGTATTTTCATCATTATTATTACATTCAATATTATTCTTAAAATATTAACTGTTGATTTTTATTTTAATATTAAATAATGAATAACTAGTAAGTATTTTCATCATTATTATTACTATTACAGTCAATATTATTCTTGAAAAAAGGTTAACTATTAATTTTAAATAATAAATAGTGTGCAAGTATTTTCATCATTATTATTACCAGTCAATATCATTGTTTCTGAACAAGTGAAAAAAAATATTAATATTAATATGAAATGAGTGCAAAATAATACGTTAATTATGTTAAACCATTTAAAAAAAAAATAATACTAACCTCTTACATTGAACCTATACTAAGTACAAGTCCTAC